AATATTTGTGTTAAAGCTGAATACCCAATTTGTCATTATTGTTATCTTGTCAACTAACTTCTGTATTTATACCTCAGGTTTGAAATCTGTCCAACCGTTTATCTATCTGAACTTTATGCTCAGCTCTCCATTAGTACAGTGTTTTGATGAGAATATCTTGTGATGTGTTCAGAGCAAGCATGTATGTGTTTTGCTTTTAGCAGAAAGGCCAGTGCAAGTCCAGCTCACACCACTAAGATGAAAAACAGGCTGCAGCATTTTTACAAACAACCCAAGCAGTTTGGCAAATAGAGGTCAAGGGCCCAAGACTGTCGGCTCACTACTCATCTGTGGACAGAAAACTGGAGACTGGCCAAATGTGAAAGAACCAGAGTTTCTCCAGTGGTTCATCGTGGTACATTCCTTACAACTGGGATAAGCACCTCCTCTTTCCTCAGGGTCTGCTCCAAGCTTTGATCCAGGCGGGGGAGGAGCTTATCCCCTTGTAGGCTATCCAGTTCTCTTGCCGGCCCTGCTTTCAGCAGGACGTGCTCTGGCTGCGCTGAATAGCGCACATTGAGTAAAGAAGACAAGAATATAGGAAGGAAGAAGAAGACGCGACGGCTTGTCTTCAACAGCCGGCCAGCGTAACGTAGGGCTCTTTACCTACGTTATTTTTGTCACGGATGTTGTTTTTAGAATTCCACCACCTGGAGGCTGGCAACCCTATGCTGAACATATGACGGTGTGCCTTTCTGAACATGTATGTCCCCTCATGGAACAGCCTGGCTCCCTAGATTCTAAGATTAGAACAATGCTCCCCTCTCTGCTTTGTGAAGTAAGCTCATGGCAACAATTGGTTGGGCCCGAAGGAGGAATGTCATTGTAACCACTCACTGACTATGGAAAGGCCAGGTGCTTACCAGTCCTCCTGATCCTCCAGTGACTGTGGCTGTTGCTGCACTCATGGAAAACCCTTTCATTTGAACGAGGGCAGCCAATAAGCTGAAAAGCTCTCCAGGTGGCAGGGGAAGTAGTGGTAGGCGTCACGGCACACGTGGGTGCCACGTTTGGGAACTTCACATTAAGGAACCAACTTCAATAATTATCCCCTATTGAGGAAACATTCATAGTCACTGATGAAGGTTAAGATTCTTTGGTCATACGCCCTGGCATTAGTACCTTTAGGCTAAACCTAGTTGCACTTATCAGACACCAGATCTAAAACATTTATTGCAGCTAATATTTTTAAGCGGTATCTTCTTTCTACCGCTTAACTGCGCAGATGTGCTTTGTGATTCTGATAGTGGCAGAAAGAACATTTAATTTATGTCTAATAATTTGTGTTTAGTCCTATATGGCAGCGATCACACACACAAGATAATCCAGTTTCAATCCATTTTCCAACTGGATTTTGCCAGTTCACACATTAAAATCCAGTTGGAAAGTGTGCTGAAAATGGATTGAAAGTGGATTTTTTAGTGTGTGTTATCACAGCCTAAGGGTGTTTTGTTTGCTCCTTTTAGAATGCTTTGTTTTTGAAGGAATGCATATTAGAATGTTTTATGCAGCAGCATTCTCTCTCTTTTCCAACATGTCCTGTAGCTCAGTATTTTCACATTACTTTGGGATGGCTGTGAATGGATTTCCCATGGTTCCCCTCCCCTTTTAAAATGTAAGGCTGAATTCACAAATCCTTTCAAGTCTTTCTTTTGAGTGTGCCATCTTTATAATTCAGTGCTAGTAGAACCCAGTACAAGCATTGCAGTTGTTTATCAAGAGGTCTGATTATACATATATTTTGGATCCTTTTCATATCACTCAGGTAATGGAGTTTATATACAAATGCAAGTTTTGTTTTCCCAATTGAAAGAGGCTGTGGCCTTTCCCAGGGGTTTTGTCCATTCCCAAATCCAATCAGAGAAACAAAGCAGAACCTGCAACAGCTGTTACCTGACTTCATGACATAGGCAAAAGTTTCGGTTTGGGCAGTTTTGGTGGTGTTATTGTATATCTGTGAATTCTAAGCTGCACGGAAGAAATCATTGTGTGGCTTCCATGGAATTGCACAGAATGTCCTTATCTCGTATCCAAATCATTTGTTCGGCACAACTAACAATCAGAATAAATATTCGAATAATAGCAATGTAAAATGAACAAAAGAGCAAAATTAAAGGCATATTAAAGTTGAGAGAATGAGGTGTGTGTGTGTGTGTTCTTTAGCATGGGGTTTGGAATGCCAAGGCTGCATTGTTAATGATCTTTATTAATAAATAACTTAGATAGGTGTGGGTCCAAAGGGCTGTGACCTGTTCTCATTACATTCCAGAGTGTTAATGTTCACAGGCCTTGGGAAGCAGACTTCAGAAATATTCAGGTGGGTAGCTGTGGTGGTCTGAAGCAACAGACCAAAGTTTGAGTTCAGTGGCACCTTTAAGACTAACGAAGTGTTATTCTGGGTATAAGCTTGCGTGTACATGCACACCTCTTCAGAATAAAACTCTGTTGTTCTTAAAGGCCCCACTGGACTCAAACTTTGTTCTTCAGAAATGATGTCTATGCTGTTTTTAATTTAAAGGTGCCTTGCTCATTTTAACTTGGGGGGCATCTTGTGTTGAGACTTACTCTAAGAGGGAAGATAAAACAAGCAGTTAATTCAAATGTTTAGTTTTTTTGCCAGGGTATCATCCAGCTCACAGAGTAAGTACTTTAAACTGCAGCTGAAACATGACTTTATATGGAAGGAAAAGGGGAGCAGTGTATGTAATACAGCAACCAATGTGCCTTAATTAAGCTAGAGTTTCAGGCGTGGATTTTCTTCTTCCATGGTCCTGTATCTTCATTAAGATTACCAGAATATTGATACTGTTTTGTTTATTTATGAGTCCTTTGGATTGAAAGTCTTATTGATGTAGACTTAGGGTAATGTAAGGACTATTATGTTATGATTCATTTTCCTTTAATTCTGGGTATTGTGTAAGAGGGACTGTGTAAAGATTTTTGCTTTCATCTGCAATATACTGCCCTCTGTATTAGAGATACAAACTTTCCAAAAAATTTGAAGCCATGAAAAATGGTGCTTAAATGTTGGGGAAAATTCAAACATATGCAAAACTTATCAAATGTAAACATTTTTGTGGCTTAAACCATATCAATCCGTAATTTGTAATTTAGGAAATAAAATTAGATTTTTTGGGGGCATATTTATGGAATTCAGAAGTATACCTTAGCTTTCTACAAGCAATTATACCCAGTACCTGAATGACAGTGTCAAACTGTTGTACTCTGTTACTTTAGCACATGCATCTTAATTTTTGCTTTCTGAGAGCAAAGAAAATAAAATGTTAGAAAACAAATTAGTATTAAAGGAAGTGTAGTATTTGAATAGAAACTGTTTCATACAGCCTCAATTATTGGGGCTACTAGCATATTTGCATATGAAGTTAAACTTTATAAGATTGAAAATACTGAACTGCTTAATTTATTGTCCTAAATCACATTATAGCATATGTGTGCTATCATGTTTACATCTCTCAACAGGTCTTGGCCTTGGCCATTACATAGGACCAAGTCCAGAATAACCTTCCCCCTGGGAGTTTCAGTGGCACAGTAATTGAGAGTATCTAGAAACCCAATAATTTTCTCCTGACGTGAACACATATTGACCCAGTGAATGTGTGGGTAGTTAAAATTACCTGTTACTTCGGAAACAGTTCGAAAAACAACTGATATAAACTATGGTTAATGTTAACACAAGTGCAGAGAGCTTCCTCTAGAAAAGGAAAAGTGGAAGGAAGGTTTGCAGGGAACCAGCAGTACATCTGCTTTGGTTTAGAGCATAATTTTTTTAAAAAGAGCTGTAAAGTCCCTAGTTGTAAAACATGCATTTCTGGGGTGCTTTGTAGCACATGGTTTTCTAATTAGTGTTGTGCTGCATAGAAGAATCCAGTTGCTGTGGACAGTTCCAGCACTTGGTGGATTCCCCCCTACAAAGCCTGCACAATGAAACGTTGTAGGGACTTTGTATAATAACTCAGTCATGTATCACCTGGCATTTTTTCCTTTTCTGTTGGCACATGCTAGGTGCAGCCCAGTTTTTCATCATCCTATACTGCATAGAAGAAAATAAAAATGTGTTGAAATTTTGTGCCTATTTTATGCAGCAAATTCTTTTTCAGCATGTCTACTATGTGTGATGAAATGAACATTAACTTTTGGAGGAGAGGTGTATCTCACCACACAGCGAATGTGTGCCAGGCAGTTGAAATTGGGTGTGCACTGCATACAGGGTGAAAGATTGCCCAGTGATGCACCAATAATCACCGACCAGTTTCCCACAAGCTGTTGCTCCGCGCTTGCTCTTCCCTTTGCCCCAATCGTACGTGTCAATTTCACACTATGTGCTTTGCGGCCGCATTTTGCCCCGCAGCTTTGCCCGATTTTCCCCGGGTCTACTCAATCCTGTTTTTTGAGGATTGAGAAGACGCGGGGGAAATCGGGCGAAGCTGCGGGGCAGAATGTGGCTGCACAGCACATAGTGTGAAATTGACACGTACGATCGAGGCAAAGGGAAGAGCAAGCGTGGAGCAGTGGCTTGTGGGAAATCGGTCACTGTCCTCCTAAACCATGTGGCCATTACCTGATTGTGACTGACCTCCTGCTCAGCCGCCCTGAGCCTTCGGGGAGGGCGGGATATAAATCCAAAGAATAAATAAATAAATAAATAAATTGTTTTGCAAATGGATCTGTGGGTAAGGAAGCAGTGTTCCCTCCAAGCTGAGTTATTGTCAGCTAGTTCACAGTTTTTTAGCTTCCGGGCCGGCTCATAGCTCAGGAAGGATGGCTCCAGAGCAAACTAATTTATGCAGTAGCCAAATTGCTCACTCACAACTTTAGTGCCAGTAGCTCACGAAGTAGAATTTTTGCTCACAAGACCCCACAGCTTAGAGGGAGCATTGGTAAAGAGATATATGTTGAGGCACATGCATTTAACACAACAACACTCTGCTATCTTTTCCCAGGAGAAGAATGAAGGCCCGGGCTCCCCCTCCGCCAAACCAGCCTCCTGCTTCTTGTAAAGCTAATAACGAACGCAAGTTGAGCACAGACGTGGGAATGCTTCCTGATCAGGGTGGGATAAACATGAAGGAAAACATGATTAACAGGACAGTGGACTTTACAGTAGTTTTCCCAGATGGAGATGAGCAGAAGAATACTGTGCATGGAAGGTAAGGCTTTCGTTCAGTTTCCCAGCACGTTAAAAATATGTTGATGATGGAGAAGTTGCCAGTAATGCTCCCTCTTAAGATACGATTGTACGTGCATGTGATATGTGTCCTCTGTTCTTTTGCTGTTTGAGATTCATCAGCATATGTTATATGGGGGGGGGTTCCTGTTTTTGTATCTCTAAATACTTGCCTCCTTGTTTATACTGATCTCTTTTATCTAGCATCAAAACAAGGGCTCACTATATCGATATTACTGATTATTCCTTCTTATTAGGCTTGTACAACCTGCAGTGTACTAAACATAATCTAGGCTATCAGCCCTTCGGTTCTCTACGGCCCCGGTCACACGAAAGGTTTTGGGCCGGGAGAGGGACGGATCGGGGGCGCAGCAAACGGGCGCGATCCCACCGCAACATCTGGGAAACGTTGCGCACCCGTCCCCGATCTGGCCCTTCCAGCCGAAAACCCACATCAAAAATACACCACCTCCAGAGGAGGGGCAAGCACGGCCGTGGGATCGCCGGCGCATCCCTGGTTCCTGGCCGAACTGCGCATGCTCACACATGCGCAGTTCGGCAGCCTCCCGTCGCTTTGTCCCCGGTCTCCCTGGCATCTGATCGTGCCGGGGAGCGATTGCGCGGCGGCTCACGGGATCTGTTTTGGTACGGCTTTCAAAAGCTGGACTTTGCCCGTCCTTTTTCCCCCCGTGTGGCAGGGAGGGCAAACAGGTCAAACCCTGCACCAAAGGATAAATGGACACAAATGTGACATCAAGAATCACAAGATTGAGAAACCTGTAGGAGAACACTTTAGCCTCCCAGCTGTTTTAGTGCAAAGGAACTTCAGGAACAGACTGGAAAGGGAAATTGCTGAATTACAAGTTACAATACCCGGAACACCCCCCCCCCGGACTTAATAAGGATATTGGTTTCTTATCTCACCACATTACATATGCTAAACTCACTCAGTCCTTACATATGTATTCTCATGAAGAAAGGCTATACATCCTCTTTATTTTTGTATATTTCTTATTTGGAATAGTAGATTGGAATAGCAATTGTAGTATAATGCAGTGAATAACTGGGTGTATTTCTCTGATCTGGTGACAGAGGAGACATAACACTGCACAACTATGCTGTTAGTTACCTCCATGCTTGAGAGAAGACAAATGGAGCATAACAACAAGATCTCAGTTATTTATTCTTAGGATTCCACTATTAAGAAGGATACATTTACACAGTAGTGTCCTGTTTTACATATTTATTTGCTCCACTGTGTTTTCCCCTATAATTAAATCAAAACAAATGGTGATCATATAGACAGCTTGTTATTCCTGTTTGGTCTTTGCATCTGTAAAAATATCTTCATTATGTTGTATGCTAATTTGCTGTTCACCCTCTGCCTATACGTATGGACTGTTAACTTCCATTTCAGTGTATCTGAGGCAGTGTGCGTGCACACAAAAGCTCATACCTTGACTAAAACTTTGTTAGTCTCAAAGATGCCACTAGACTCAAACTTTGTTCTACTGCTTCAGACTAACATGGCTGCTCACCGGGATCGAGACTATCAGCTGTGTGTTGTGGCCTTACAGATACTTGATAGGCTCCCATTTTTCAGATTCAGACAGGTAGCAAAACCAGGATGTCCACTGAACCCTGGCTGACCTTATGGCAAGTGGGCTGCATTTTGCTCTGTGAGTCATAAATTCTGCATTTACATGTGGTTGCTAGAATGTGGGCACAGTGGCTACAGTTTTGTCAGGGAGGAAAACAACAGAATAGGTTCCTGCTTTAAGACGCTACAGACCGGAAGATCTGTAGTTTGGCAGTTCGAGACCCTAGTGCTGCATGACGGAGTGAGCTCCCGTCTCTGGCCCCAGCTCCTGCCAACCTAGCAGTTCGAAAGGAAGAAATTGCAAGTAGATAAATAATAGGTAGCACTTTGGTGGGAAGATAACAGCATTCCGTGCGCCTTGGTGTTTAGTCATGCCGGCCACATGACCACGGAAACGTCTTTGGACAGCGGTGGCTCCTCGGCTTGGAAACGGAGATGAGCACCGCGACCCTAGAGTTGGATTCGACTGGCTTTCGAGCAAGGGAAACTTTTACTTCCCTTACCAAGCAAGCTAGGAGAAGTCGTGTCTTATTTACATGCTCTGCTGGTGGTGGGAAGTGCCATAAAGTTTCAGTCTATTTATGGCAACCCCATAGGGTTTTCAAGGCAAGAGATGCTCAGAGGTGGCTTTTGCCATTGCTTGGCTCTGCATAGCTACCCTGGACTGCCTCGGTGGTCTCCCATCCAAACGCTCACCAGGGCTGACCCTGCTGACCTGCTGAGATTGGGCTAGCCCAGGCCATCCAAGTCAGAGCTACATGCTCTGCTTCAGCAGAAATAATTGATTTCAGTATCTGGCTCCGTCTGTCCTATCGAGCTCACTGTCCTGTTTGGGTTTGTAGCTGAGTATCCTTGAACACACACTAGTGCAGCTCACATCTTGCTTGCAAACAGGGGGATGATTTTTTGATGGACTGTTCATTAGTGGCTGTTTGGCACATTGCTTCTCCATCTTCCTTTCGAATGTAACAATTATAGTACACTGCAATTTTCTTTCCACAAGAGGGGGATAATGATGAAAAATACTGGTCTTTCATCAACAATGGAGATGTGTGATCCCTGATCTCCATATCACACCTTGATCTCCACCTTGCCACAAATAGTATTATGATGATGAGAATCGGATAAAATAGAAGATATTCTTGGCAGCCACGTATTCTTCTTCTTTGGACTCTTTGGCTGGGGTACCAAAGATTGTCTGCAGGTTAACATTATTCTGGGCCAAATTCCTTTAATTCTGCAACCAGCTCTTGGTGCGTCTGCCTCTGCACTACGTCCAATGACTTTCCTCACTTTCCACTGTATCACCAATGCCTTCGCAATTTTTTGCTCCAAGGATGACACAGCCGACAGCAATAGTCCCATTTTGATCCCTGTCACGGTCACTGCATCTTTGACTTGGGGTTACTGACACATCAAACCATGAGTGAGGAATAAATGAAATCTATTCTGCTTGCTGCAGCCTGAGCTGAAGACTCCAATTCCTTGTAATCCCCCTATTCTGAAATCTCCACTGAAATGCAGTTATTTGTGATGCTGTATGATAGCAAATGTCATCTGTACTGCTTGTATATTCCTGATTAACTAATCAAAGGCAGTAGGGCTGCGTATAGTTTGCTGTGGCTTGGCTCCCATTGTGTAATTTTGCATCGTTTAATGTGTCATGTTAACAGTTTATGCTTTGCTTCAGTCCTGTCTTCTGAGTTAAATTCGCCCATTCCTGTCCACTTTAGTTCACTGATTCCTAAGATATCGATGTTCAGTCTTGCCATCTCATTTTTAACCACGTCAAGCTTACCTTGATTCATAGATCTTACATTCCAGGTGTTCCTCATTTCCCCTTTTTAATGTCCACCATATGAATATACTTTGTTTGTTGACTAATGTTATTTGCAATTTAAATAGCACCTGGTTTTGTTTATCTTGGAAAATATTTCTGTTTGTATGTGTATTTGGGGGGGGGGTTGTGTGTAGGGCTTAATGGCATAGAGAAATGTGCAAGTATTCTGCTTATTAATTAATTAAAGGCTGCACTGCCTAATACTGTAATTTCACTTGCATGAGCCCTTATCTTTGAAGTGGTACAGTCCTGACACAGAGTTACCATCTCAATAAGATCAAGATGGGTAGCTGTGTTAGTCTGTCTATAGCAGCAGAAAAAAGCAAGAGTCCAGTAGCACCTTAAAGATGTAACAAAATGTGTGGCAGGGTATGAGCTTTCATGAGTCGCTGCTCACTTCTAGAATTCTAGCTGTATCTGAAGACTCACGAAAGCACCTTTAAGGTGCCGCTGGACTCTTGCTGTTTTCTACACTGTTGTAGTTCTTCAGTTTGATCAATGCTAGTCCTGTATTGGCAGGACTTTCATCCTGTTGTTCATATTAGGCAGATGTTTATGAATGCCTGGTTCCATGTCTTTGCTGTTTCTTGACTTGTACTGGAAAAGGGAAATTGTTGTGAGCTGTGCTATTATGCAAACTAAGCCTCTTTTCATGATTTCTCTTATTTTAAATCATTTATTTTGTGGCTTTTACTTCTGTGCTTAATTGATTCTGCTGCTTCTGGTCCTAGGGAGGGGTTAGGAGCTGAAGGCTCAGAAGGCCCATCCTTTGCCGCTGGAAATCTTTCCGGTGACTCATCTGGCTTTTGAGACTTTGCTATGCATTGCCAGTACACTTTTGAAATACCTTGTCAAACATAAAGGATGGAAAGTTGTTTTAATAAAGCTGAGATTGATAGGAAGCTGAACTCCACGGCTAGTAGCACATTCTCTGTTCTTACTGTATTCCCTGGGATTGCCCAGACTTGTCTCCCAATTTAAACAATGGCCCTGCAGCATAATCTTCCATTTCACACAGGGCTTAACCAAGTTCTTGTGAGGTGCCAGGGACTCCGGGAACAGATACCTTACTCTGTGCCATTGCAGCTTGCTGGAGCTGCTGGCTTGCCTTGCTTCTTTTCAGCTCCACTGCAGCAGATGGCCAGATGGTAGCACTGCACCTGCTATTGTAGCACGAGTAAGGTGTTGCAAGGGCTCAATAGGTTCGGCCTGGCCTGGCTCCTTAGCGTGAGCACCTCGTTGCTCAGCCTGAGCCTGTAGACTGCCTGTACCCTCTGCGATACAGTTCAGTTCTAGGCTTCAAGACCTGTTTTAGGTTTTCAGCTAATGGCTTCACAGAAGATCCACTACGGTAGTCGAACCAATTTGGATTCCTGTGGCACCTTTAAGACCAACAAAGGTTTATTCAAGGTATGAGCTTTCGTGTGCAAGGCATGCTTTTTCAGATACGTTGGCATGGGAGATGAGGTTCTAAACTTATAGACAGGGACTTAACAGCAAATTAACATGTAACATGATGATGTTTAAGTTATTGCAAAGTGAA